TAAAAATATTTATATCTTGATATATATATTCGAATGTGTTGATATACAAAAAAGTGGTGTCGATTAACCCATAAGGTATTATTAATTTAAAACATACTTATTGAGGGAGTACTGTAAGTCAAAGTTTTTTTTAAGCTTAGAACTATATTTTAGCTATAAAAAATATTTAATCTAATTCAAATTTTATAATATTTTAACTTCGACTTGCCGAAGTTAGCTTACAATGTTGATTTTTAATATTTTTAACTTTTCTCGCTTAAGAAACAAATTTTTGATCCTCCAGAGAGTATCATAGCTCCATATAACTCCATATAACTTTTTTAGGCTTTTGGCGCCGAAGAATAATTTCCCCGAAAAATCTTTTGACTTTAACTGTTTGACTTGACTCTATTCAGAACAAAAATAAACATAATGGGCACGACAAAATTATTAATAACTGCAGGTTTCTTAATTTTTTTTTTTAAATTAGGCTTTTAATGACGCATGAGCTCGTGTCCTGTTAAGATGTCGTTACACCTCAGGCAGATACACATTTCGTCAAGGCGAGTTTTCTGTTGAAATGTCACTGCTCGTCCTTTCGAGTCCACCCCCAACCAACTTTCGTACAAACAGGGATTTGGGTCTCTCTGGTCACGCCAGACGCATATGCTAATTAAGCAATTAATATTTGTGGGCGAGACAACTTAATTTATTTACAAAGAAAGCATATTTACCCCTATGAAATGTGATATTGGTTCTCGGTCCTTTTTTCGTCCGCCTCTGGTCTTGAGCCATGCGGCAAGACAATAAACTTATCACATGTTACCCATTGCCTTGGGCCAAAAACTTTTGCAGCCAGTTTGATTTGCGGTCGCCCTGGTTTTATCGTCCTTTGCTTGTCCTGAACTGGCCTGTCAGGACACTGATATGCGACTATGCGACTCAGCCCCCATTTCTATATCTTATGTTATTTAAGTATTTCATCAACTTGCGATGCACAGTCAGCAATAATATTTTCTCAGACACATTCTAAACAGCAAATAAGTCAGTCTCGGGCACTGTTTTGCGGTCACAGCCGGTGGCTTTGTTGAGTATGTACGGGTCCTTTAAGACGCAATCCAAGTGCATATAGAAACTTGAGCTTCTGTGTCTTGGGGTAGCATTTGTCAGAAGCCAAAATCAAATGAATTGAGTTGGGATGCGGTTATTCTGACAGATTTGATTAAGTTGGTCTGTCGGAATAGAATAGCTAAATGAGTAAGAAGCAGGTTTTAAAGTATTAAGATAGTTTTTTATATTTAATTAACTCCGTTGTTTCTTAACATATACCCATTTACTAAGGGTTACAACTTTTTCAGAATTCCGGTCTTACTTTTATAAACCGCTACAATATGAACGATCAAAAAGGTATCAGAAAAGTGACCTAGTTTCATTTTTTTAAGCAATATGGAATATTTAATTGTAAGAGCTGCAAGAGTATATAATCTTCGGCTTCTCAAAGTTTGCTTCTGCAAAAGTTGATTAATTTCTTGACCCATTTTAATGTTAGTTATTTCCGCCGACTTGTAAAAAAGCGAGCCAGAATTAGACTTCTAGATTCCGTAACTTATGTTTACCTTTTTTAAAAAATAAGCAGGACTTAAGCTGACCTGAGTTTATTTAGGGACAACCGATTTAAAGCGTGCCACAGCAGTGAGCCCGCTTTCTATGGTCCCATCTCATTTCAACGGCTTCTCGCAGTGCAACCACCTCAACTTAAACGAAAATGCTTGAATCGAAGGGCCAAAAGGTGATGTCGAATGCTTGCATTACATTAAATATGAGAGGCTCTAGCAATATACTCTTGTTCATGATTAAGCAAGGTTTGGCGCATTCATTAATGAATTACATCCATTTTTTCAACAGCTCAACTTGCACAAAAGGGTCTGCTTCCGTGCTCAAGTTATATTCGGACATTAGACTGATTTCTGATTTGAAACACTGTGTTGAGTTTTGATTTGTCTTTTCCACTCCTACAACTTCGGTAACCTACCCTCGTGTCTGTTCATCCTTTCGCTTGATTAAGATTAGAAAGCGCCAAAAAATACCTCCTACTCTCGTAGACTACACAAAAGAAAAGCCTTTTGTACCTCAAATTTGGTTTGTTGCAAAAGCAGTATTATTTTGGTGGATGTGTCAGCAAAAGCTCTGAAATAAAGAAATATTAAATCAGAGTGCCAAAAAGTAAAATTTATATTTTTCTCGTTTTGTAATAAACTGTTTGGAAATTCAAACGCTTGAAGGTTGTGTGGAGCTAAACGATTTTTAGATTATTAAAATATAACAATGGAAGTATATCTTTAGGATAGGAGTCTTTAGACATTTGTAAATTAAAGTGACTTTTCTCTCCGCTCACTCCCAATGCTGTTCCTTTCTATACCGGCACCTTTTTTTGAATAAATGTATGCACAAGTTCAAAAAACGTTGTGTAGTAAATATTTTGTATGCACCATTAAAGTTTTTAACAGGATGCGCAAACACACAATGTTTATAGCATTTGCACATACCTTCCTTCTGGTGTTTAGGAGATATGAATGAATATTAAAACGGAAAAGCAAATTTTCTAAATTTTTGGAACAATTATGCAAGGGTGTAGCCTAACCGATTAGAGGTTATTAGATAGCTGATAGTTATTCAAGGATATATAATATTTTATAAAGCACCTTTGTTTTATTGCTTTATGTTTAAAAAAGAGCTATGTCGGTTTTCCATTACATTTTTTGATAGTTCCTATGCAAGCCATATAAAGTAGTCATCAAGTTTTAATAAAATTAATTAGTATAACAGGGTAATATGAGGGTCGGAAATGTATGTCAATGTATGACGTCTACCATCAAGTAGAAACACCTGCCGTGATCCTTTAACCGATTTACGCCGTCCAAGTTTTTAAGGATCCCGCGAAATTCTCCGTTCCGCTGCATTTTCCGCGAGAAAAAAGTGACGTCGACGGAAGCCCGGGGTGGGGGGCAGGTCCCCGCAGGACCCCTAGGGACCCCCTCAAAAAATCGTAAGAAACGCTCCCAAGCCTCCCGACCGAAATCATACCCTCAAGACCGCCAGCGTTGCCCCCCTCAAGACCCACCCCATCCCGGCGTTGCCAGAAGCTATCTGCTAGCTAGCGGTCGAAATTATATTACCCTCTGCAAGCGTTAGAAAATGTGAAATACATTTACCAGCACTAGGTGTCGCCTTGATTACTGTGTAGAATGTAAGATAAGTGTCAAAAGTTAAATGAGTTTGTAGAAATAAATATGCAAAATTTTCCATAAACTTATAAAATAATTTTCCATAATTTCCATTATCTGTGAAAATTATTAAATAATATTCAAATAATGACCAGGTAAAATAAATAAAAGCTTTATTTTTCTATAATATGTTCTAAAAAATATGTTTTACTGTAAATGTGCCGTTAATTGTCTGAAGATTGTCTAAAGAACAAAATTGTATTTATAAAACTGATCAGGATTTATATATACATTTATATATATATATTTTTAAATGTATTTTGTTAAATAAAAATATAGTTCTTTAAAAATAATTATTTATAATTCTTTTGTACGGACCTGGTATTTAAAAAAAAATCTAAAAACAAAAAAATAAAAGGCGGTGCAGCTAAGACTATATTTAATGTTGCGGTTGTAGCAACGTTGCAGCCAAGGTTATTTAAACTGACGACATACTGTGCCTCATCTGGTGTTTGACAAGCCCCAGCTGTGCACGAAACCTCCCCAAAGCTTTGAGATTGCACTGAAAAAAATAAAGGGGGACAAGGCTCAAAATCGAAGCCAACACAAGCATCAGTAAGATCATAGCTAAATGATCCCAAGGCTGTAGACTCGCAGGTCTCTTCCGCTCTTGTTGGGGCGCTCAGGTTTCTAAATGGCAATTCAATACTTCGAGATGTGCAAACGGTAAAAGAAATTTGGCTTATGGAGGCCACTTTAAGGTAGCGCATGCTCTGTCTGGCTGGTAGATATATTGAATCCAATCTGTAGAAGTTAATACTGCCCAAGCGGCCGAATTGCTGAAGTGAGTTGGTCCCGAACTCGGTTATTGCACCGTTTTCGTAGCAACGGGGATTAGAAATACGACGAGGCACTACAAGTAAGTTCATTATTAATTTGATTCATTGTAGATACAGAACGCCTCACCTTGCCGAATCCGTGTAATAACGGGATCACCACAGCTCTCGGGAGGTTTTTCGGTATTTAAAAGAAACAAATCTCTGCTCGGTTGTCGAACAAAATCATGGAACCTTACCAATGCTCCACCTCCGTAATAAATGAAGTGCAAGTTTGGCAGACGCCATCGCAATTGCTCCAAATATCGCTGGCAATAGTCATAGTCTTTCTCATCTACGTAGGATAGGGGACTTGGAACCAGCAGGGCAACTAGTGATCGTCCTCCCAGATTGTCGGTTGTTCGATCTGCTTCAAGCAAATGTTCAACTTTAGCGCTTAAAGTGTTCATGATAAGTGGCAGGTTAAAGCCAGTTGGGTCTGTAATAAATACATTTAATCCGAATGAACTCTTTTATTATTGAACATTCTTACGCCAAGAGTGTGATGTGGAATTCCATTCCTCATAGACGTTGATAATGTAGTCGGTGGTATTAACAATGAGTGACGCATCAGAGGCTGCGAAAAGGGTTACCTTACTAGCGTACGGATGAATGTTAAGACCCTGAAGGACATAACTGGAAAAGACAATATTGATATTTTGAAGCTTGTTAATTTATTCCCCTGGTTAAGGTACTTACGCAACGTAGTCAACAACCGAGCTGTATGGCCAGTAGGTATCGACAAATACATATATATTACCAATTACTGTAGTTAAGTTGGATATATCAGACCATTGTTGGGACGGAAAGTAATCCATAGTTTCTAAAAAGTAATAAATATTTAAAATTTAGTGTCTCCTTGTCTTTATATCTATGTGAAAGCCTACCGGGAACCACTCTTCAAATAAAATAAAAAGAAAAGTATAGTTCTAGTAGGGAACATTTATTCACGACTGTTTTACTGGAACTTCTACTTATTTACGAAAAATATATTATTAATGTAAAAAAGACAAATTAATTGTTTGGGTTAGGGAGACGGGAAGACGGGGTCTCTGCCGCTGTACCACTTATACTACCACACTCTAGACACCAATCACTGAATCAGCCTCTGAACCAACAAGGCGAATAGAATTGTAAGTAGACTGGCTGCCAGGCCGGAGACACCGCTATAGCATCCCATGTTGACCATAGACATAATATAACGCCATTGGTCCGGAGTCTGGCAAGCATCCTGTGTGCAGGATGTGGTGTTTGAGGTAGCCTGGACTGACAAATACAAGTCTGGACACTGGGTTATAGTGTAGTAGCCATTACACGCGCTTGAAAGGTCATAGCTAAAACTATTTCCAGATATTTGCGCGCAACTCTGGTCTATTGAGCTTGCTGTGGAGCTTGTAGTTGAGTTCTGTTGCGGCCACGAATAAGTGCGTGAAGTACATATGGTGTAACTTCCTCCATTCTGCGACTGAATGTTCAAATACCGGTTCGAGCCAGTTCCAAAGAAATAGTTGGCAGAGACTCGGTAAAAGTTGACCTTGCCGGGTCCCACATATTGGGCCATTTGATCAGTGCCCCAGCTATTTGTGTACCAATTCGATCCACAACGTGGATTAATGACGCGTCGAGGAACTGCAAGGAAAAATATTGAGTAGTTTATTATTGAAGAATATATGTATATATATGATTGCTTACTTTGGATAATGCGTTTCGCTACAGGTCCCGCCGAGGTTGCAGCTTTACTGCCCAAGGTGAGGGAGAAAAGGTCCTGGGAGGGATCGCGAACAAAGCTTGAAAACCGCTGAATACTTCCCCCACCATAGTATATAAAGCGCAGGTCTGGAATCTGTTCTTGAATATACTGAATTTCTGTAGTGGCGTAGCTGGAATCGCCATCATTAACGGTTTGTTGATTCGGAATAATTAAAGCCACCAGGGAGTGACCGCTTAAGCTCGAGTTAGTCTTTTCATCATTCATTAGGTTTTGGGTAAGGTTCTGAATCGTGCGGAGGACATTAGGAAGGCTGAATCCTTGAGCATCTAGAGGAATAATATTTTCGATTAAGCAAATACCTCATATATGAAAGCTTACATGTCGCCTGGGTAGTCACATTCCATTGCTGATAGACATCAGTGATATAGTTTGTGGTGTTTACTATAACCGAACCATCTTGCGCCGAAAGCATGGTGACCGTGCTGGCAAATGGGTGGATATTTAACTGCTGAATGACATAACTGAAAAAATAATTTAATTTAGATTAAGATCAGCAATGCATTGAAAAGTTAATTACACCACATAGTCAACAATAGTGCTATACTGCCAGGATGTATCCAGGAAAATATACAGGTTAGTCATTGGAGTTATGACATCCGTCAAGTCAAGGTTGCTTGTCGCCGTACAAGAAACATCATTCAAGGATTGCGCTGTTTAAGAAATATTGAAAAGGAAGGGAAATCGTGTTGCATACGACCACCAAAAATCGGAGTTCAGAATAATTACAAGTGCTTTCCAGCTCAATCAAACTTTGATAGCATAATCCAAATCGGAATGTTTGGTAGGAGACAAGTAAATAATGCAAGGTGGTTCCGCGATAATACTCAAAATAGTTTTTACTTACGGACATACGTCACCATCGATAGGGTGGCGTTACCGGCAAAATCAGCGATAGCGGACTGCTGGAGGGTGACACGGAGTTGCATCTCTCGATCCAAGACTTGAGCGAAAGCACTAGTCTGGTCCTCCATTTCCTGTGAGGGTGCCACATTTGTGAATTGGCTTTGCCTACTGCAGGCATTGATTCCGGAGCTTAGAACTCCGTTTGTTGAGTAGTACATGCGCAGCAACTGAGAAAGCTTAAGGCTGGATGCTTGAGTTCTCCAGTTGGCCACATTCTTGGCAAGAATCAACCCATCAAGGCCGCCGCGGATCTCGGCATCGGTTGCCTCAAGATCGGTGCGTTGCGAAAGGAAGTACCAGTGAGGTAAAACTGTATCATTCCATCCTCCAGTAGCACCAACAGTAGCTGCACTGCCCTCCGACCCGGGAAGCTGGAGCAATGACACCTCCGCCAACTCCCCGGCCAAAGTAGCTGCCCACCGGTTGTCAACGGTGTTGCTTGTCTGGGACTGACTGCGTCCACGTGCTCTTTGCTGGGAGGACTGGGCCAGCAGGGTACTTACTTGGACCGTCTGCTGCTGGACGCCAGCTGCGATTCCGGCAATCAAGGTGCCGGCTGAAACCGTTCCCCAGCGAGTTCGAACAAGGCCATCCTCAACTGGGCATTGGCTTGGCCCTTCCGAGCCGGCGTAGGCCCAATCGGTCTCGTAGTCCATTTCTGCCAATTGCCCGTACTTTGATTCGGAGTTGGATGAACGTCCTCGTTTGGGGCGAGTCTCCAGCCATTCAACATCGCCAATAAAGTTGTTGCCATAATCCTTCTTCAGGGATCGCGGCAGTCGCTGGGCTCGATACTGAGAGAGCTGATTGCACACTGTGTTCTCATCGCCGCGCTGCCTCGTGTCAAAGGTGCTTGATAGCATAAAATGAAGGGAACACCGCTCCACACTTGTTAATGAACTGTTAGGGAAGCTGTTGGCGTTTCCCGGAATTAAACGTGAAAGCAAAATTTTGAATTTGGGAAACTGGAAGCCTGTTGGACTGTATGGTATAACGCCATTAACGGCTTTAAAACCAGAGGCCTTTTTGATACCATCCTGGCGGAAACGATGCAGCAAGGACACCGCCACGGTTCGCATGTCGGCTTGCACACCTGAAGTTCCGGCGTAGCTGTTTTCCACCTTCTCGATCAGAGAAATGAGAGTGTCCATGTTAGCCGGTAAGCGGTTGTCCCGATTCATGAAGAAGGACGTATTGTAACACTCTACCAATGAAGGGGGTATTTGCAGCATTGCATTCTCCTGTGCCTCTGCAACCCTGAGGATTAGGGCCACAGCCAGGCAGATAACTGCCGCCACAAACTGTTTCGATTTCATGAGTAGGTTTTTCGTTTTCGTTGTGAACCTAGAAAAGAAAGTGATCGAGTTATTTGAAAAAATATGCCGCATATATTATGAATTGACCCTGACACAAAAATTGTTTTCCATATGTAACTCTAATAAAGGCTGGTAGCGAGGGGTTTCAAATGATTGCACACACTTAAACTTCTTATCGCAGGTGTCTTATCAATGGGCAGGGGTTTAAGCTTTGGATGTATAAATGGTTACTCAGTGTAAATACCGAAATACGAGTATTACTCTTAGTCATTACGAAAATATTTTTTCGACTATAGTACACTATTAGTTAAGAATTGAGTGAATAAAGCAACGCGTCTATTAGAGCGTCCTATTGGTTGAAAAACGATTCAGTTTTAGGTAAAAAATAGTGGTTCAGGTCCAAAATTAAATTATGGTGTATATATAATTTCCTTTTCCGCCAGACATTAAAGGTTGACGTCACCCGCAAATATGATATTATTAATAACAAAAAAACAATGTAAACGCTCATGAGTCAAGTCCACTTTTTATATACCACATGTATATACATTCGATATCGTTTATCAGTTTATTTGAGATCCGCAGAGTACTGTTGTAGTTTGTCCCATATAGATTGGTAATACCATACAGCTGATAAGCCGTACTTTGCGATTGGTGATACATTGAAAAATGAGTCAGGTGTAAAATACACAAAAGAATACAATATTATGGACCCGCGTCCCAATTTTAAAACTAAAGCTAATACACATTAAATTATGGCACTTTGATTAGATAAGAAGTTCTCATTCTTAAAATTCTTTTAACATTTGGTATTTATTATTGGATTTTTAAAAACCTCAAAAGGCGTTTTTTTATTTGTTCATCGTTTACGATGGTGTTTACTTAATTACAAGAGACTGATCGACTAATGTTTTAAGTATGTCCACATCCGCTTACAACCGCACTGCTGAATTACTTTGTTTCACCTGCTGGTCTTTTCGTACTGAGTGGTAATTTGTCTGCCCAGTTAGAGCTGTGCCTCGCCCATGTGCCGACTCAGGCAATTGTTGTAATCTTTGAGAAAATTGTTATCAGTTAGCAGTGATTAGATAAGCAGGTTAGGACTGGGTAAATAGTGGCAAACCTGTCGTGCAAAATAACTTGTTTATGCTGTATGCTGTTAATGATATTTTCACGTATTATTTCTTGAATATGCTGCCTCGAGAATAATCCAAAGTATTTTATATTGTCTGTAGGTCGGCCCATTGATTTTGCTGACATTTGGAATTAACTCGTAAAATTAATAGTGATTTATACCGTCAGGATGCTTGATATTTAAGCTTTAAAATATAAGAAAAAATAAATTTATTTCGTTTTGGAAAAGACCAAAAAAAAATTATTTTAACCTCATTAAACTCATTTCTCCATCCCGAAGTTAAGATATTCTTGCAGATTTAACAATAATGTAATATTCTAACAAATGACTATATATCGACTTTTAAGTAAATTTTTTCAAGTTACATGAAATTGAACCAATATTTATATATATGATGCGTAAAATACAACGATGCTATATAAACCGCTACTTAAAAGTCTACTCCGAGTAAAAGCAGACAAATTTGTATTTTCCGAGTTGCTTTTAATTTCTTCTAAGAATAAATCCCCTTTTCATTATTTTTCGTACCATATAAATTGCTTCACCTAATTTAGGCCCTATTCTGTGGATTCCATTTTGAGTACAAATTTTTCCATTATGGCATTAAGGCGTTTGCGCTCCTTTAACTGCTGCTGCATCAAATCTGATATCTGAGTACCAAGAGCTAACAACGCCTCCGTATTAGCTTCAGTTTGCTGGGCGTTTAAGCGGGTTTGTCTATTTAAATTCCGAAGTTCTTTTGCTATGTCCATAAGAACCGGAACTTCGTTGTCTTGTTCAATTTCCAAAGCATCTTCCTCAAGTAGCTTTCGTTTAGAAGACTTTCGCGTAGTTCGTGGCTCCAACTTTACACCCAAACTCCTTATATTTATGGGGTTGCTGCAATCTTCTTCGTCTTCATCTTCTGCAAAAAAACTAAAGTTGGCTACAATGATTCTATTTCGATTAATGATTCCGTACCGTTTTCTGTCACCGTCCCTTCGTCGTTATCAGTTTTTAAGCTCTGCAGAGACGGGCATTGCGACACTGCGATTTGAGCCTTGGGACGCGCTTCAACGATGGTGTCTGCCATGTCGTACAAGTCACAAATCACGGCGACTGCATCTTCTAGAGGTGTGAGTGTGTCTTGGTACAGCGAACCCTTGCCACTATCTTTGGAGTCCTCTAGTCTGTTGTTGGTTATCTTCTTTCGAATGCAGCTTTTCCAATCTTTCCAAACCTGTCGAGAGGCAAGTTAAGAAAGCAGCCTTAAACATATGTTTTGGACCACCTACCCGTTTCCATTCGCAGGCCTCCTTAGTAGGCGGACCTACACTGTTCAGTTCGTTTGACAATCTTTTCCAGGCTGCCTCCGCCGCTTGCTTGTCGCCTTTAAGGTAATTTTTCGAAATGATTGGATGCCGCTCCATAAACGCGACGAATATTGCATCCTGCTGGGCGGTTCTGTGCTTACCCCTGTCAGAAATAACCAAACAATAAATATTTTTGAACATCTTTGCAGTTGGCTATACTTACATGTCTCCGAATTAAAAGTGCGGCCACGCTGGGCTCGTGATGCCCCTGTATAAGAAATAAATACAAAATACTATGTGCCTACAATAATGAGCATAATTAATCAATTAAATTTGTAGATTCTGCTCTATTTACAATTGCGACTGGTGTTGCTGGATAGAGGTGGTGAAACATTGATGCCAACATCGATGTCACCGATTTTTTCCAAATATTGGTATCATCGATGTTTGGCAGGGCATCATAGATGTTTTTTCGTTCTTAATAGCCTGTTCACACTTGCACCAGAAAACTAGCGCCTTTTTCTTCATAAGAAGTATTCTTGAACGAGACGGGTTAAACTCGCTACGGCTTGTTATTTAAATATTATTTTTTAGGATATTGGATACTCAAATAAAAATTTGCAGAAGGCGGGCACAAGCAAGAAGTGGGAAGTTTGATTTCAAACCACTTAAAAACAATCACATGGACCAAACATATTAATAAATTATAACAGTAATTTTGTTGAAAAAATCTATTTTGTTTCATTATCGATTGCTCAAACGATAATCGTAGCCACATTGGGCTAACTATATTGCCGAATATTTACTTTTCGTGTTGAGTCTCGACTCAAACCATGGAAGAAAACTGTGCTAAAAGTTTTCCGGAGACCCAAGCCAAAAATTTTAAAAGAAAAACATTATACAAGATTATAAATACTTTATCGGATTGGTTTTGACCTAAAAAATAATTTAAAAAAGTCTTGGTAAAAAAGTTTTTTGTTAAATCTATAATATTCTATGATCTATAAATTTCAAAGTTAAATATGTTTTAACTAGAGGATCTTATTATATAAGTAGTTTACTCAACACATTTGTTTGCATTCCTAAATCAAATTATTTTGCATGGTTTTGGTATTGTTTTTAAATTCAAGTATTAAAAATAAGAGTAAGATTCAAAAAAAGATTAATAAAAGTTAAATTATCTCGGTAAAAAGTATTTTTAAAATCTATAATTTTCTATAATATATAAATTTAAAATTAAAAAATATATTTTAGCAAGCGGGTACTTATCAAAAATCTAGCTCATTCAACACACTGGTTTTCATCAAATCAAATTGCTTGCAATTATATAAACGAATACATATGAATACCCAAATTCTTGTATTAAGATATAAGAGTAATATTTAACTAATACAGAAAAGAAACTAATTCTAACTGCTTGGATACGCGTGTATGTTTACCATCATCATCTCCATCATCGCTTCCCGTCATGTTGTGGTAAATCCATTTAAGTTTTTAACTTGTGTTTTATGTACTTGAGCGCAAATTTGATGCCTGCACGCAATAGGGCGTTTGCCTCCCCCTGCCTACTTTCGCTACTTTCAACATCCCGAGTCGCAGAGTCCAGCCATCATTTTATTGCACTTGAAAACTTAATTAGGCCAAAATGCGGTGTGAACGCCTATTGATGTAAAAGAGAATTTTCGTTTCGCCAGCTGTGTGGGATTTTTATTACTTGCATCAAATGTAATTTGTTACAAATTTGATGTGATTCTATCTTCTTGAAAACGGCATAAATAAAAAAGTTTTTTGGTAAGTCCTGGGGGTTGGTGGAGCTGAAATTGAGGCTGCTTGTGCTGATGGTCGATTTTTTTTCGGACCCATCATTTAAATGCGTTGCAGGTTTTATGATCAGTTAACTTTTCATTTCAACAGAGAGGTGGTACTACAACTATAAAATATTCTTTGGGATTGGAAGCCGTAGTAATTTCTATATTCCCGTACTTTCCCTTTTAGTTTACATCGTGAAAACATACTTTTTAATTCCCTCATGCGTGGTTATACAAACGTATGGGGGTACATTCTACCCTAGGGGTCATGGGGTCAGAGCGCCTGAGTGCAGCGCTTGGGGTGATACTAACCGATGGCAATTTCTCTGATATAATAATTGTTACATTAACAGTTATTTTATTTTATATTTAGTCAATAATGTTGAAACCTAGTTGTCATTGACTTTACTTGTACGCTTTTAATGACAATTATTAGGGTTATTTTCACAATTGCCTTATTATCACCATAATCGAATTTAATTTAATAAAACAAACTGTTTATTGTGTTAAATTTTTATTTTTTCTCAAAAATCATCGTGTAGTATTTTCCTTTTTCGTTTCACTGTTGGTGGTGGAATAAAAAGCATAGCCTTAGGTTTTGTCCGGGTTTAGCTTGTTTGCTTCGTTAGCAAATCAAAAATTTGCATCCAAAAATATAAACATTCTGTTCTTGTTGATTGGTGTTGATGTTATTCCCAATCTAGTTTTGTCTCATCCTGGCGCATCGACTACTTAAACGCCAAGTATGTCTCCTTGAGTAGGTTGGACAAATTTACTATTCAAATTTCCGCGGCTGATTTACTTATATATTATTCAGATTTACAGCCCCATATTCAGCATTGTTTTAATTCACTTAAAACTACATAAATTTAACTTTACATGCAAGGCGTCAACTCACGTGCCCCTGAGCGGCTAAACGAATACGCTTCTTAATTTCCAATAGATACAACTGTGTCTTCGCCTTGTGTGCCAGTAAAAGCAAGCTGCTCGTTAAAAGCTACGAAAATGTCGCGAGAGAGACTTTAGTCGAGCTTGCTTAATTCAATCAAAAGCACGTTCTGCTGCATAATGAATCTTTAGTCGATCGCTTGAGCGCAACAACTACGGTTCATTTAAAACCCAGCTGACGTGAGAATAAAAGCTTTACAGATGCTTTCCCATTCGAGTTGCAACGGTTTTGGGTTGTTGCTGACGGGGTTATTGGCATTGTCTCCCTTTGCCGGTGCCAAGTTGCGTAAGTGTCCAACTGCTAAGAATGGTGTCATTGAATGAGACCTTTAGCATTGCAGTGTGACTCGCATTCTAATTTATATGTCAAGGTCTGGAAGGCCTGCAATATTTAATAAGTAAAATTTGAATCGAAAGTGTCGCTTTATATCTTTTCTGATAGCGTCCACTATCAGACCATGTGCCCGGGATGATCCTCAATTGGAGCGTTGTATCATCAACGCTGTCTACCAAATAAGGCCACTCCTGGTTCACGGAAATCTGGGCGATGGCTATAGAACTCCTCCATTGGAGCCCTTGTCACTAGATAATATCGAACTAGGACGGAGTAGTCAATTTCAAGCTGTGTTTACGGATCTCGAGGCCAATGGTGGGAGTAACTTTATCATTGACCGTCTTATGTACATAAGTATCAATTCTTGTGAATGTTACGTTTCTAAATTATTAATTTTTCCATGAAGTGCCAAGCCGTTAGATATATCGTATGATCTTTGGATTACTCTTCCACGCATCGACTTCAAAGGAAAGTACTCGTTGCGCCTCAACTTGCTCCTCCTAGATATAAAAGGAAAGGGAAACATGCAGGGATATTGCGGTAGGTTGCCACTTTAGACATTAAAACGAGAACCCAAAAGATATTTTCCATTCCAAACTAGAAAATGCTAAAGCATCTGTTAAAATGCGGGGCTCCCGCTATCTTCGAAATGGCCAAGACTATGTAAAATTCACCAAGATGACCATGCGCATTGATTTTAAGGACTTTAAATTGAACTTAGAAAACTTGCTCGGCGATCGGATTTTGGGAGATGTGGGCAACAGCCTCATCAACAATAATCAGGAATTGTACCTGAACGAGATTGTTCCAGGGTTAGAACATGGCCTTTCCAAAAAGTTTTTAGATGTTGCGAATGAAATCCTAGCCACTGCCACCTTTGATGAAATGTTCCCGCCTGGAAGGACTGTCATCAATCCGATTATAAATCCGTCCCGTTCACCAGCTATATTTGAACCTCCTTTTGTTTCTCACAACCCCGAAGGTGGGGTTTTAGATAATTTACCACCTAGAAAATATGAGTCAAAGCGGAAATAGTTTTAAGGACATTATTATAATAATAAAAAACCCCCATAAAATTGTTTGTAAATATTTGTAATATTTCCTTGAGAGAGTAATGCTGTTCCTCAAATCATCTAAAAAAATTACTGCATTACGGATTATTCAATTTTACCAAGCACCGCTTTTCCATGGAGCGCCTAATGCTAACTCCATTTTCGTGTCCTGTCTGTGGAGGAGCTCGCAAAACTTTTTAATCCGCTACCAAGCCTGTTTTTGGTTTAACATATTAGGCTTAAACTTTTTAAAATGTGTAGTCACCGCCTAACGGCTCCGGGGGGACAGCTATACGGGCACATATATACACTTTTTCCCAGCATTACACCTGTTCAATGGGTCAGGGCGCGCAGTGCTCTTTCTTTTGGGCCTTTTCTTGCTTGTGATTAATCACCGGCAGCGACAAAGATGAATTTACAGAGATTTTTTTTCCTTAAAAGTTTTTACTTTCGTGGCTTGGGAGTGGGCAGTTAATTGCGTTGGATGGACTTGGGTCGCCAAAAAAAAGTATTGCCTCTCCCTAGTAAAATTCAGCTGGCTCTAATTAAATTCATGCGACGCAGCTGTCACTGGCAAGAAAAAAGCATTATCGACTTTTAGGCGCTTAATATTTCAAATGAAAATGTTTTTGATGTAAACAGAAAGAAGTCAAAGAAAAACCTTGGCAACATCTTCAACTTCCGTACTGGCCAATGCCTTGCAAAGTGTCGCCGGCATTAATTTCATTTATTAATTTTTAACTACGCCCGCGCACCAAAATAAAAGGAACTTGATAAATGGAGAGCTAGCAGGAGGAGCTTTTCGTAGAGGTGGAAGGTGGTTTGAAATCTTTTTCTTTTCTTTCATTGTGCGCGTCCCCATTTTTTGTTGCTTCCTTTTTTCTCATTGCTTTTTTTTCGACCTTTTTTGTTAATTTTTTTTAATTCTTTGCTTTTCACTTGAAAGGCGCTCGAAACGTGGAGATGCGCCGAGGCCCGCTAATGTCCTTTCTTTTATCATTAAGTAGAAAACGTGGGTGTCTTTTTTGGGGATGGTGGGTGGGTGGTTCGTCTTGGGCGTGGCAAGTCGGTTTCTTTTCATGGTTGATGGGGTGATGGGGAAACGCAGGTATTTTAGCGTCCATTAGAGAAAAGCCCCTCTCTGTAGGCTTAAAGTTCTAAAGTAGCCATTTTATATCTTTGGTAGGACAACATAGCTAATGTAGATATATGACAAGTATAGAGTAGAAATAAAGTAGAATATTAAAATTTAATAAGCAATTTTTATAAAGAGCTTAATAGATTTGTTTTAGATGCACCGAGAATATAGATACAGATGGTCAGCACATATAATTTATTTCATTATTAATAATTCGTCCAATTTTTGAGAAAAACAGTGGTAAAAAACTAAATCTGACTAATATTGGTTTCATTTCTGGCTATCTGCTCGCAAGTGCAAGCAAACTGAGCACTGGGGAGGTCCACAATTGTGGGCGACGCAAACCGTTCTTCGAAAGAAGCATATTGTCGGTGATGGTGAATGAAGTCAAGACTAACTTTGTCATTAAATCTTCGGTGAGGCTTTTCGCTAAAAACTTTATATCTCTGAAAAAGTTCTCGCACTATTTCATTGGGATATTTGAGATAGTTTCGAGGAATCGGATACGGCGTTACTGCAAGATTACATCGAATTTTGGGATCGTCCTGCATCATCGATGTCTTCACATTATCGTTTTCCCACATTCCCTTCTGGATTTGACCCGTGTGCATATGGTAGAAGACGCCCTCACCATTTTTATATCCTCGTGCAAAGTGTCCTTCGTAACGGTTGCCATTAGCTAGTTTTTATAATAATTTTTACGAGAGAAATATCATAGTAACTAGTATATCATACGAACCGTAGAACATGACGCCCAGGCCATGTCGGAAATCAGTCTCCCACTCGCCCGCATAGATGTTCCCATCTTTGTACCATTGAATGCCCAGTCCGTGACGTCGGTTCCTCAGCCATTTTCCGAAGTAGACACATCCATCGGGATAGAATTGCTTGCCCTCTCCACACTTCATGTCATCATACCATCTTCCAGAATATATCAGCTGGACGTCAGTCCCACGCTTGCGGAGCATTGATCCGACTCCCTGCCGCTTGTTCATCACCCAGTGACCCTCGTAGACGAGCTGGCCTTCAGGCTGCTTCTTACCAAAAAAGTACTGGGAAGTTCGCTTTGCCGTCATCTTGACACCCCAGCCCTGGTGTTTGTTGCACAACCAATATCCCGAGTAGGACCCACCTCCAGGATAATAGAAAGTGGCTCTTCTGCCTGAGCTGCAGACAGGCTTATTGGGGCAAAAATAACGTTCCAAACAGGTACCCATGCTCGCAACGATAACTTGACCTGGACGTTTAAAGATATGCTAATGTGTGAGTGGGGATTTCTTTTACAATTGAAAACTTACCGGGCGGTACAAAGTTGCTTGCTCTGAAATATATTATTTAATAATCAGCCCCCTTGACTTTCCATATTCGAGCAACTTTAAATTGTTATAATGACGTGCGCAGACACTACCAAACTACATAAATACAATTTACAGGCTTAATTCAACCTCTCTATTTATAAATGGCAGGAAATCAAATGCGCGTTCAAAGAAGACATGCCACACTTGAAAAGTTGTTTGGGTTAGGTTTTTTGTGCGAATCAATAAAACATCTTAATAAATTGGGGAAGCCAAAATGTGAATGGTTGGACTCCAATTTGGGCCACCTTTTTTTGTCATTTAAATTGTCCCATGAGTGCAAAACCATTTTAGAGAGGAGGGTAAAAAAATCAATCGCTTTGTGTAAATAGTAACCGGAATATTTTAAAGTAGGAACTTTTAATATTTCGTAATAATAATATCTACAGTGAATATATTATATTCGAGAGATGCTAAAAACGATGCCTTGGTTTTTTGAATAGAGAGTACATATTTTCGAAAAAGTGTTTGTGAATAATTTGTGTACGTCCAAATATTATTCCAGCGTATATACATTAAAACCGTTTATAAATATAAGAACATCAGTTTTGTAATTGTAAAAAAAAAGGTATTTCCGATTTCTAGTAAGTGCAGCTGCACAATAAAACAGAGTTGTGGAGAAGTCTGTTCAAATTCCTTTTTTGAATTTGTGCGAATTTTTTACGTTTACCTACATAAGGATTGTAGCCGTAGAATGGTTTTGTTAATTAATTAGTGGTGGAAAACTTGGAGTAGACCATTTATAATCAAAAAACCAATTCGATTTCTTTGCCTGCTAAGTGCAAGGAAACGGTTGATCAGTTCGGTTAATTTCCGGATGTAACTGAAGCGGATATCTGCCTGTGGGCGAAATAATTGCAAATGACAGGCGCTTTAATTTTTCTTCCTTTTCGACAGCTTATATTAGACTGGGACTGGGTTGCCATGTTTATGATAAACTTAATTCAGTGTAAATGAACGGCCGCTATGGCTAGCGGCGGGATGCTTATGGGGAAGGTTATTGAAGAAAAAACCAAGTTAAATGTTCGGTTTCTGCGTCTCTTCTTATCCATCATTTTGTTTTGATAAACTTCAAATAAACAAATCAACGAAAGCAAAGAAAAATATAAAACTCCTAGAGGTAAAACTTTTTGGGTTTTCGGTTGAATGAAATGGAAAATTTTAATTGCTCTGCGCTATGTGTATTTATCAGCGTTGCTGTGGTTTTTTTTGTTGATACACAGAGAAACAAATAGCACCAGTTCGATAATGTCTCCATAATTATAACATAACAATTTTAGTAAGTCAATTTCATACCAAAAATAAATTTTAATAGACTTATTTTTTACATAACAATGTTAGTAAGTCAATTTGATACCAATTTCCATTTGAAATTTAAAATGTGTGTATTCTAAAAGGTAAATCTAATTATAAACTATAACTTCATAAGTTTTGAAAGGTTTAAAATGCAATAGTAAATTATATAATATTTAATGATGAGAACGCGAATTGAAGATTTTTCTTATTAAGCTCATGCCAGATTAGCCAAAAACAGAGAAGGGGTCAGAGAAATAATAAAGGCAAAAGGGGAAGGAAACTTGGAGCTTGGTTAATGCCAAGAGGCAGAACACACGGGTGCCATAAATTATATGCCCGAGGCACCCCTTGAGAAGCAGCGCTTACTTTTCTTTTACAAACTGAGACGAAGCAACGATGGCGTACAACAGCATTTGTTAAAAATTAAGTGATGGGGGTGCTCTATACGCAAGATGTGAAATGAGTCGGCTGGGTAGCGGGCTTCTTATTGCAACATCAGTCTGGAAAGCCGGTATTGCCACCGTTAAATAACAAAACGGGAGTAATGTTATCGAACTGAACAAAACGAAGTACAGAAGTCGACGTTTGAGTACTCTTACAGAAAATTCACCAGCATTGCCTAACTGAATTGGGCACTAGTGACAGACTACTGAGGTATGTAGCATGAAGGGTTCCCAATTTAATGAGTCTATACATTCTTGATCACCTTACCACAAGCTTAAACTTAGAATTAGTAGTATTTACCTAGTTATAAAACAATTTTTACAATTTAACAATTTTTTTTTTAATTTCTAAAATTGTTGCTTCTGGCAACAAGCGAGTATTTAAAAATCGGGTCCCTTCTTTTTATTTCTTTACATTCACGATTCAAATTCGTATATGCATTTGGTAAGTGAATACATTTCCTAATGAAAAAATTTGCATATCGTTCTGTGGGGAGACTCTTTTTCTTCCGATGGGGTTGTTTCTCGCCCTGACATTATTTAAAGCATAAGCGAAGCTTATGTATACAGCCAGCCATAAGATAAATGGTGAAAAGGGCCGGGGACGACAGCGGAAAAAATCAATCTTTATGCAGGGATGCTTTGCCTGCTCGTTCCAATAGCGGTTAAGGTAGAAAGGCTTTTGTTTTAGCTTAACCCTTTCGTACCCAACCCTTGCCCAGTGGGCAGTGGCCAAGCAACCAATGAGGTTTCAGCAGCTGAATAACCCTTTTCCTTTAACAAGGGTGAGAGTCATTACTATCCGACCACCAACGAACCAGCGCAGGTCCATTTTAGAATTTGGGAAAGTTTTGTTTTTTCTGTTTTTGTTTTGCAGTCAAAACTTTGATTTCTTTGATTTGCATTTGCCAAAGTTTCTTCAACTGGAAAGGAAAACAGAAAACGACCAAATACTGTACTGGAAACGAATTAACAGTCCAGTGATTATTGTCAAAAGCAAAGGACGGAAAGCTGAAATAAGTTCCTATCGTGTGGTTCCCGTACTCCTCATACCCCTCCCTCCATACTTCTGGCAACCAATTCAAAAATTAGAAAAGGGCATAATTTTAATGAACTTTCTTCTGGAGTCCAGGCCTCCAAGCAAAAGAATACTCCGTGGTAGCCAAAGCAGCTGTCGAAAAAGGACTTACAAGTTTTCATTCCGTTTTGCCCACTTGTCTCGGCTTTTGAGTTGTTTTCATGAGCGTCTTTGACGGGAGTTTGTTTTTCAAAAGAATTTTTGTGAAACGCAGAAAATACAAATTTTAAATATGTTGATCTCGGCTTTAAATAGTGAAAAGAAACTGGACGCACGCAGCAGGCTCCCGACATTAATCACAAAAACTCAATCGGCGTCAGCTTGTAATTGCATCTCTGTTGCGTGTTTCGTCCCTTTTTCATAAGACTGTTATCTGAAATAGGTTTAGAATTGCAACGGCTGCAAGCCAAAAAGTAGAGGAGCAGCACCTGCTCTTGTAATCTGTAATTGCTTGGCCCGAGTGCCGTCGCAATTTCTTAGACGTGCGTTGTATGCTACCAATTAAACGAAAGCAGACCATAATTATGCGAAATGATAATGAAACTCCGAGTATGCAACAGATAATCTAAGGCACAGTCACATTAGTCTGTTCAGCCATTCGATAAGTTATATAACAGCTATAACCACTAGTTACGATCTTTAACTGGTCAAAGCAATGTAAGGAATTGGCGATATTCTAAATACTTACTTATATACGCTTTTCGTTTACAGAACTGCCTTGTTCCTAAAGCCTTTTAAGAATTCATTAGATCTGCCCATCACTTTTTTCAGAGGGCAAACGCATTGAGAGCAAATAATGGATATATTTCAATTGTCTGGAAGAAACAATCCCGAAATGATTGATTAGAGGCTAGGTTGGCTAGTCAGGTAGCCTTTAAAGGCCTCAATATGCTCCCAAACCCAATCTTGCCTAATATTTTACGCTCATTTAGGGCATTACTGAAACAGCTAGCGGATTGTCTGCAACGCACCCTCCACCAAACAATAGCCTTAACTCTTGAGCAGGCCCAAAAGGAACTGCAACTGTGGATCAAAGGATCACAATGAAGCGGATGGGAAAACTAAAACCAACGCCCGCTTGACATTTGGCTGCTAAACAAACAAATACTGCAAAAAACGAGAGAGCTGCAAGGCAAAGGACGGACAACCAGCCTGGCGATTACCGGTTTAGTGCGGGGGTGAGGCGCAGGTCAATCAAGGACCAGGTTCGTGCGCAGTTGCACTCCGGTGTTGCCTTTCCTGGCTGCAAAGAAAAGGAATATGATTCCCCTTCGTTGGTAAAAAAAATTGAAACTGAAATTGAAATTGTGTCATTTCATGCCAAGACCTGAAGCGAGCACGGGGAAGGGGGCAAGGCCAGGGGACACATATACACCTGGTCTTCGAGCAGTTTCATTCCTTTGTGTAGTCTGCTTCCTCTTAACTGTCATTTTTAATTGTTTGCGTTTAACGGTTATCAGCCGGGTACAAACGAATACAGAGAAGGCCAAATTTATCGGAATTTTTGTTTTTCTTTGGGCTTTTTTATGGCCTGAACTCTTGACGTGGCCAGTTGCCCATTAAGCTTACTTTTAAGTGCCATTCAGCCCCATTCTACCTCGTCTTCTCCGTGTCTTTCTCTATCAGAGCGCTTTGCACTCGAAAAATTTGCGCATGCACAGCAATTTCTTGTCTCGCCTTTCACTTTGTTTCTCATTTTCATTTCCTTGCCTTTCCGTATTCCAATCTTAATTTTTTGTTGATGCTTCTTTGGGGTTGAAAATAATTCATTTATGCAAATGAGGGGGTGTTTAAAATTAAGCAAAGAGCACGTAGGCCAAAAGAAGCGGTACCAAAAAAAACAACAGCAAGAAGCAGCAGCTATAATGAAGGAGGTGACTGGCTGAGTGGAATGAAGAAAGGGAAAGAATTCGAGCTTTGAAAGGGCAGCAAGGGCACTGAAAAATGATGAAAACAAAAGGTTTTCGCTTTCCCCGAGCCCACTCACCCTCTAAGAGGTACTCTTCAACCCAAAGCCTCTTCTCATATTTTTCTGCGTTGGATATAAGTTACAATTGGTAAGCTTTTAATGGCCGCTGTGGACAAAAGGGGAGTAAAACCCCACACAAAGCGTAGAAGTTGAAAACATTTTTTATTTAACGC